GTTTCCTGCTTGATTGGAAAGGAAAAGATGTCTTGTTGTCTCAGGCTCTCAAATGAAGTAGTGAAAAGTAAAGTGGAGTGGTAATTTAAATGGAATAATATGATGGATTGTTTATCATACAGATGGAATGATAATTTAGCTCTTTTAGCTCGCATTCACAGTTTGTAAACGTGACAAAAAGCTTAGTTTCCATGATTAAGAAAGTAGCAAGTTACCTTTTGGTTAAAACCAAGGGGAGAAATCTTCTTTAAATGCGCAGACCTTTTTTTATATTCGTCCATCTGTCTATTTTTGCATAGTTAATCACTCTATTTAATCACTCGGCAGAATAAGTATGCAGCTCCCTTTGACAAGCGATAAAAACAAGGCCGTAAAGATAGCCAATCATATTCAAACCCTTTACATCAGTTCAGTCTTAAGAACTTCGCCAAGCATAAGAAATAGGTACTAAAAATCTCGTTACACTAATCAAAGACCTAGCCGAGCATCTAGAACAAAGATCAATAATTTGAACAACCTTGAAACGGCGATTATAAAACATACAAACGCACAGCATTGTACCTGTGACACTCATGTACGACAGCAAGTCGCTTTCACGAACTCTCTTAATCTTGCCTGGTATTCGTCTCAAGGGGAAAGAAAGTTTTCCACATTCAATAATATTTAAATTATTCCCGAAACCCGAATGATAATTAATTTTGTTTTAATTTTTTTGTTGCCGTTTTCTTTTTTCAAGATTGATGTCTACAGTTTCGGTGTTCTCCTGTGTGAAATGTGTACCTTTAAGCAGTTTACAGACCCACAAAAGCGCCTAGCGCAAGTAAATACGGTGAGAGACAATGACCTGCGGGAACTTGTGCGTCGATGTCTAAAGACAAATCCCAAGGAAAGACCAGACGTGACAGAGATCATAAGTGAGCTGAAGAGGTTACGTTGAAACCGACTGCTAAGTCACAATCTTTTTACTCAATCTGCCCGAAATATGCCAGTTTTTGCACGTTCTCCCGAAGCTTGTTGCCGTAAGACTTCCGTTTATTTAGTCTTATCTGTGATGGTTGAAAGTTTTTCATAAAGACAATTTTCGGGCTTTTCTTTGATAGATATAGAGAGAAAACCTTATTTTCAACATGTCATTACTTAGTAGAGGCTGCTTCGAGGAAGCGTACAAAAGCGTACAAATGTATATATTGTAAAGCGGTTTTTTGTGCAAACGGGTTCTCTGTTGTTTAAATTTGAGTCGCAAATTAAAATTTATGCGTATTCCATGCGAAAAATTTGTGCTTTGCCAGCTCTTGGATCAAAGTTTTGGATGTAGAAATAGCAAAAAAAAGCCACCCAATAATCAAGAAAAGAGAGGATATCGTTTTGTTACCACGGAGGTTGATGTTTACTGACATCATAAAGCTGCGTAAGGGTGATTTGACCACCGTCATGTAACAGATATGGTTCACTTTGAATTATGTTTCTTAAACGTTGGTTTACAGTAAGAAACCGCGTAAAAGAATCTGTCAGTTAGGCTAAGATGTTCATTTCTACCTCCTTTTATACATATGGACCTGTTTTCAACTTTAAAAGATCTTTAAAATAACATTTAAAACAGGTTTTTATCTAATGGTAACGAGCTTTCACGGTTTGTATTACAAAGTAGTAACTTCTGGTGTGGATCGCGAAATTTCGACCGCATGCTGTCAGTCTTCTTCAAGTGATGAGTGCCAGAATTGTAACCTACGAATTTCCATAATCTTTCTTTCAGCTCTGCGCTGTCGTAAAGCTTCCTTCCTGCAGGGTTCTTATCTTTTTCTCATTTGTGGTACATAGAGAATATTACATGGGCTAATTTTCATTATCAACGCAGCTGATCAAACCAAATTATCTTGTAATATCTCCCAGCGACGCAGCACCACAGTCTTCTTTCAAACTTACACCATTTTCAGGACTACTCTCGCCCAGACGATCAGACTACACGACCAAGTGTTTCACCTTGTCTCAAACCACTCACCATGTGTTAAAATGCTTGTGTAAGCTGTGTAACTCAGTATTATGATTAGGTAACAAAACATTATTTGTTTCGTTTGCCTTATGACTGACCGACATGCCATGAGAAAATTCTGTTCAAATACAGAGTAGAAGTTACTTATGACATTGCCAATTGAGAAAGACGCTATTCCAAGGATAGAATTTGCTGTTGGCTCCTCATTTAACCATGTAGTTCACGTAAAATGTATTTTGGTGAAACACCAAGGAAGATACATTTCGGTTCTGGCCTAACCTTTCATCAAATCCCCATCGAAATAACCCTCAACATTTTGTCACGTATTTAAACGAGACTCTTGTATTTGGAATGCTGTAATAATAGCGAACTGTGTATTGAGGGTAGCCCTAGAAAACGTTTTCTCGATCAGACGTCCCTTCTTTCTGTCGAAGACTAACATGACTTTAGTCCACAATCTTGAGGTAAAAGGCTCTCAATGGGGTCAACCATTAGCCGTAAAACGGCTTAAGTCTGTTAAGCCTTTAGACGTAAAATTGTCAAAATTTAACGGTTGGACGCAAAAACAGTGATTTTCACGTAAAACGGTTTAAATCTGTTAAGCCTTTAGACGTAAAATTCTCAAAATTTAACGGTTGGACGCAAAAACAGTGAAAATTTTCCTCGTAACCGCAACGGAAAGAAATAAACCGTTAGCTCTAAAATGTCAATAATTTTAACCGTTCGCCGTGAAAGCCAACACCCCAATGAGAGACTCAGTTGAGGGCCGTGAACTTTCTTAGAAGTACCACAAATAACTTTGTTCGTAAATATGTTCGCTCCCGCAAGATGTCGCTGATTGATCCGAAAAACAAAACAAAACAAAAGGGAAATCAACTTCCTGTGTGCATTCAGAACTCTTGACCTAAAGGACAAAACTGGTATTGCGTGACAAGAGTTTACGTTGGTTATAGACTGCTTAAGTTCCGAATTCCTAAACCTGGCGATATGATTCAAAGTATATATTTTGCGTAGAAAATACTTCGCCTTGCTAATTAATGTAGATCTATTTGTGACGATTAATCTCCGTTGAATATTGAGTGACCCTTTAAGAAAATCTAGAATTAACAGGTACCCAGACAGACTGCCTTGGTACTTTGGTGCGTTTCATTTTGAAGGTAAGATGTTTTAGTCATGCACTTAATGTTTTCGAACCAAACGATTTTCAGCTGCGAAATTAACACACCGAACTGTTTAAATGAATAGCTGAACTTAAAGGAATACCTAACATCGAAAGCAATTTGGAACAGCTTGGAAGCGGAACGCAAAGGGTTTATATTTCCGGCTAAACGGCCTTTGGATCGTTTTGGAATCGCAGTGACTAAACACGCGGCAGCCGGGCACAGTCTCAAATAGACTAGATGCCCGGCAGCCGGGTACGGTCTCAAATAGACTAAAATGCCCGGCAGTCAGAAATTTTCACACACTTTCCGCCGAAAGGTTTTTCAAACTTCTTAAGAATATTAAATGTTTAATTTGTTAAGGAATGTGAAGCGGTTCAGAAAATATTTGAGCGCCGTGCATTTAGTCTATTTGAGACCGTGCCCAGCTGCCGGGCATTTATTCAGTGCCTTTTGGAATGGCTTAACCTTACTGTTTTTGTTGTGGTAGAAACTGCACGTGTCGAGCAAGTACACTGGCGAGCTTTCGAGTTCCACTCAGTGGCTGCATGAGATGATTTGAATGTAGTATATGTTAAAAAAAATTTGGTAGTCAAATTCAAACGATTTATTCGGCTGGCGTGTGAATGGCGTGTGAAAGAACCAAATATGCGCTTAAAATAATCACTGTGCTGAGACAGTGTATTATGACATTATATGACGTTTCAAGGTGTGCAACACTACCTTACCTCTCAATAAATGATGATCATTGCAATGTTTGCATGGATCAGCACAATACTGGGGATCTGAGAGTACATGGTGGTTCGACAAGTTATCTATGTTATAAAGTACAATAAAAATACTTAGGACTAAAGCTATTTGATAAGGAAAGATTCCTAAAGTATAGAAATCTGAAAAAGTTCTTCTGATAAGAGAATCAATCTCAAAATAGTTGTGAAGGAAACCATTATTTCACCTGTTTCTTGAAATTTGATGAGGCAGCTACCATATTGTCTAAGTCTTTCAATAATCTGGTGGCACAAACAACAAAAATAAATGGCCCAGTCCATTTTACAGGGCGGTAGGAGTAAAAATATCTCTTCCAAGTTGGTGCTGTTAGTTTTGTAGCCATACTTTGATTAAACGTTTAAAAGTTTTGCTTTTGGGCAGTCTTAAGTTTAAAGGCCATGATGGGTTCATGGTCAGGTGTGCAACAATATGTAGGCAAATTAAAGGCAAATTTACTTTGTGCTTAATGGCATTAATCCCGACCGGTCTCTCTTTTTTCTTTTGTGCATTGGAATACAATTGAAGTCTCCATATATTGATGCTTCTGGTGATAAATATGACTTATTTTTCTTCTTTTATTGTTATTAAGGAAATGGAAACCAGTGGAGAAGGAACCAAATTTCAGTGCAAGGTCTGACCAATATTATTGCAATTTGTATTGATTTTGTCAATTTATGAGTCAAATTTCCCCTTCTCCTTCGCTTAATATTTTGAAATTGTTTTAACACTGTTTTTTTTACTTTTAATTCAAAGCTTGTAGGGACAACAGGTGTCCCTAGCCCAGAGGGTGTGGATATGTGTGCTGAGGCTTTTAGGAAATTAAAGGTACAATATACCTGTTCATGAGTCATGTTAATTCATATACTTGAATTAAAGTTCAAATTTATTTTTTGTCAATATGGTAATTATAAGTTGTGTTATATTTCTTAAACATGGCAATTATAGGTTGTTTTATTTCTTGAACAAGCCATCATAAAACTGCCTGAATTGCATATTACCCAGTAAGTGCTAACAACTTCTCAGTGTACTCACCACAAGCTAATCTGCCAATATGACAAATTGATATTACCTAGTTGATCATGAAAGCTTGTCATAACCTGTTATTCATTCATTCAATTTGGTGGGCCCCTGATGCACAGCAATATCTTTTCGTTTTTCCCACTCATAACATAATGATCCTCTCAGTCCTGAAATGCTTAAACTAGTAATAATGTGTGTCTGTTTTATTGTTATTATTGCTAATTAAACTAGGCTCAGGCAAAGAAAAAGTGGCCGCACAAAGAGAGGGTGACACTGACTATTAGTTTGGAAGGTATCAAGATAGAGGATGAAACTTCTCAAGTAAGTATGCAAATAAATCAAATATTATTAGCCACCAAGCAATTGCCATAGACACTAGTGTTTAAGCCACACCCATGAGTTTGGTTACTCAGATTTTAGAGAAGAGAGTTTTTTAAAAAAATCAGGGAATCAAAATGCCAAGTAGAATTATGTGGTATATCTATATCTCTACATCTTATCTGCTATATTTTTCATTGAAAAATATCAAATAAGTTAACTCTTTAATCTGATCCAAATATTGCTTTCACTTTTTCCATTTAATCATTAAAGAGAATTTCTAAGGGGCAGTATATGCTTCAAATGTTTTGTTGGATCTTACATTACATTTTCTTTATCAATTTACCCATTGACTTATCCATTTATTTATTCATTTATCCACTCAAGTCAAAAATAGTTAGAGTACTGAAAAAAGGAAGGGCTGAACAGCAGAAGAGAAATATACAATTAAATCCCTTGGTGCCCCTTCGATCTGTATTTTGTTGTGTTTTTATAGGTTTTACTAATTTGTTAATTTTTTTAGAAAGTGCAGCATATGCATCCTGTCAAGAGAATATCATTTGTCACTCCTGACCCAGATGATGAGAAAATATTTGGTTATGTTTGCAGTCAGCCTGATTCTTCCACTGGATATACATTTTATGCTCTGAAGTCAGGAAATGTAAGAGGAACTAAAGAAATTATTTGCTCTATTAACTGAATTACTGGAAATGCAGAGGCTAAATGGTCTTGCTTTGAGACGTGTCTTGTTCACTGTGTTGTGTTACTGATGGGATCTGATGTCTTACTCTAACTAAATGCGTCTGCTGAGGAACATATTTTAGAATTAACTTTGATGTCAAACTGCTGCACTCAGAAAAACTGATATGGCCCAGCAGGGGAAGGATGCATGTAGTGCCCTTGGTTACATCATATGCTCATAAAAGTGAAATGATCAAGCTCCAGCAGTGAGGGCTATGGGCTTGACAGTAGACTTACCTTCTGACCAGTAGCTAAAAGTTGGTTTCAGTTATACAAAGGTCATCACCCTTTAAAAGAAAAAGGTATCCAATTCTACTACTGTTCAAAGAGATGCACTGGGGAATGTATTTCATATCAAAATTAATTATGACAATACAAATGGACATACAAATTAATTCTGAGTCATCTAAAAATGAACTGATCTCCTTTTCCTACATTCTCTTTTTTGTATGACACTTAGCTTCAATTTTTTAATAATTCAAAAGAATTTCTAAGCCAGAAAAAAAAAATCCAAATATTGAGCCATCCAAAAAATTCCTGTTTCTATTTATTTATTACTTATGTTTTTTTGACTCTCTGAGAGTAGCATTTCATGTTGAAAAGAAATCATTGAAGAGGTAAATTTTTGTCAGGGAACAACGCAAATTGTATCTTTTTCAAGAGAAAAAATACCTTAAATCTACTTTACAATAGTGTACTTTGATTTGAAGGCTTACAAGCCTTCTCTGCAAATTTTTAGTTTCCAATTCATACATCTGAATATAAATTTTCATAACATTTAATCTTAAATATTGGCCATTAATAAACACTCGCAATTATTTATTATTCTAAGCATGTGTCATTTTTACTTTCAGGCACAGATCATAATTGATGCCATTGTTGAACTTTTTGAAGTATCAGTAAATCTTAAACAAAGGGCTGGATCAGCAAAGAAGCAGGTCCTCAGCAATTCATCAAATGCTACTGAGTGCAGAACCATTAATCGATTCTTTTAAATGATTATAGTTATTGTAAGAAGACTGTTCCACAAAAATAAGCATTTTAAAATAACTCGTATGTACTGGTTCCATCTTAAAATTCTTATTTTAAAGCTACCATGATATATGCTATATTGCATGATGTTAAAATGGTGTGTTCATGAGAAAGTAAGTTTGTTACTGACTGACAATGACGGATAAGTTGGGGGAAACTTTTTTTTTTTTTAATTTCACTCTTCCAACAATCATACTGATCATTACTTCTCTTTTGAAAAATGAGGTTATTCCTGGGCAAGTACCCCTCTACCTGAGTTGCGCGTGCCGAGCGTTCATTTGTATCTGATTGAAGTCATCCGTATCATAATCACAAGCAGTTTAGTGTCATTTTTTTCTAATGAAGACGTCCACTCTCTTCTACTTTTTCAGTCTGCTCTCTCTAGCTTGTAACACGAACTAAACGTGTGAGAGATTCCTGTTATCTTACTGTCGTAAACTGTACCTTTTCGTAAGAGGAAAGTACGTCTGATAAACAACACATGTCTGCTATGTGGAACTTTTTAAAAAATGATAGACTGGTGAGCAGCACTGCACGAGCTAAAATAGGAAAACTTGCTTCTTCTTGTAATTTGCACTCGTGTTTCAACTTTGTACTCGTATTTCATGAAAAATGCAC